AACAATAAACATGACAAACACAGTCATGTATGTATGTATGTATGTATGTATTTTTAAAAAGCACACACAAGAGATTCGATCAACAATGGAGCCATCTCAAGATATCACCAGTCCCCTGCCAGTCCCCTGAGACTCTCAGGCCTGATGACATAACCAGGTCTTGAGGGACTTCCGGAAAATAAGGAGGGATGAAGCTGACCTCTCTTTGAGGGGGAAAATGTTCCATAAGGCGGGAACATTTATTTATTTATCTGGTTATCTGCCTTCATAGCAACATAGTTTTTTTTTTTTAGATTTTTTTTATCCCGCCTTTCTTATTTTTATATATACCTCAAAGCGGCGAACATACCTAATACTTCTTCCTCCTCCTATTTTCCCCACAACAACAGCCCTGTGAGATGAGTTGGGCTGAGAGAGAGTGACTGACCTAAAGTCACCCAGCTGGCTTTCATGTCTAAGGTGGGACTAGAAAGCAGTCTCCTGCTTTCTAGCCTGGTGCCTTAACCACTTGACCAAATTGCTTCATTTGTATCCTAATTTTTCTTGCTTAAATTTTAATCTCAAAACAAGCACATGAAATAGCCAAGTTTGAATTTCCATGGCTAAGTGGGATTTGAACCTGGTCTGTCTAATCTGACTGTCTGAATGATGCCATTATTTCCTCTAACCCCGTTCAATAACCACAGTTGTTCTTCAAGGTCTTAGGCAGAGGTTCTTCACAGCCCTTCTTCTTAACATATTTTTCCCCAAGAGATACCAAGGGTTTGTCACAGCTAAACTCCAGTCCTTTTGTGAACTCAGGATACTTGTTTGTCTGATTTTCCCAAAGCCAATATATAGTAGTGGGTGGGTGGAAGGGAGGAGATGTGTTTTTTTATTTTGTTTCTTTCAGCTTTATAGCCTTCCCCCTCTCTGCTTCAGTTTCAAGGACACCATTGTCAACGCAAAGTACGGAGGGCACACAGAGGCTGTGCGGCGGCTTCTGGGTCAACTTCCAATCAGCGCACAATCATACAGTGGCAGCCCTTACCTTGACCTCTCTCTCTTCAGCTATGATGATAAGTGGGTGTCAGTCATGGAACGTCCCAAAACATGTGGCGACCACCCAATCAGGTATGAATAGTGCCTGGATTTCCATGATTACAGTACAAAGAACAAGCTGTTGCACATGGTTTGCTTCCAAATTAGCCAGGAAACAGGTGATCATAAAGCTTTTGACTCATTAATTGGGCAACTAATAGGGTCCTTAGTTTGATCCACCATAGGCTATTCTTATGTTTAATTTACTGTGATTTTATTGATCTCTTTAGTGAAAAAAAAGGCTGCCTGACTGGTTTACAAATGCCAAAAGTGAGATAGGTCTTCCGCTTGGGCTTCTAATCTAAAAAAATGTCACACAGTGAAAACGAGGGAGGAAGGAGAAGGAAAAAGAAAGCATAGGATGGGATTGAGAATAGTCCGTGTCACCTGATGAAATGGCTGTTAGCTAGGTGACATGGGTGACAAGGATAGACCCCAGAATAACTGAAAGACAGGGAAAAAGGAAACAAAGAAAAAATACATTGCATTTTTTTAAACAATAAAGTTAATACTTATTAACAATTGATTAACAATTAAATATAAGACAATACTTAAGTCTTAAACAAAAAATTAAACCTTGACTACGCAGAATCCCATTGATTAGGTTTCCCATAGCATTGGCAGAAAATCAGTTCATATATAAGTAGGTTGTATATGTCTTCCATTCCGGATTTTAAGTCAGATACACGAGAGTCTTTCCATTGGAGTAAAACAGACTTCTTAGCTGTTGCCCACAGAAGATAAAGCCAAAGATATTTGTTCTTCGATAGGTTCCGAGTTTTTGGAATATAATTCAACATTGCGTTCACATATTTGGCAGGTATATGATCCCTGCTGTGATAGTCCTTCAACTGTGTAAGGAAGCTTCTGGATTGGGTTGATACAGCTGAATTAGGACAACCGATCTGAGGATTTTTGTGCCCTGCTACATGTATTATGAATATGTGGTCTTCCTTTCGTGGGGTTGGATCACTGGCCCATTTAGCCTGAAGCAAGAGATGCAGATTGGGACAGGTCTGCAGCTGCTGCAGAAGATAGTTATTGGAGCTATGAAGTGTGTGCTCTACCATTGTGCAACAAAGACATTTGCAGCGGGACATGAGGTCATGGACCCCTCTGGCCCAGATGGCCTACTTCCTGGGTGAGGAATTCCTGTTGCTGAACTGCATTTCTTAACATCTCTCCCCACTGCTGTTCTGGCTAAAGGTGTTGGGCTTTGTTGCTCAGTAGCATCTAGAGGGGCAGAAAGGCCTCACTTCTGATCTGCTTTTAACAGTAGCAGCTGTTGTTTTCCCTACTTGATTGAAGTTTATTCTCCATCTTCTAGTTCCCAGTTCCAGTCTGCTCCTTGTAACTGGTCAAATGACAAACATCAACCTCAAGTGGGTTCCTTTGTGGTACCTGGCTAAGGAGATGGGTTAGCTGACTGCTTTGGGCCTTTCCTTATTAGTATGCCTGAGCTCCAGCATAGTTCTCCACCCTTAGGAATATTGAGCTTCCTCCTCTGAGCCACGCTTGGCTTACTTTTGAGTTCTTCCTCCCTCTTACACCATGCTCCAGCTGCTAAAATGCCACATTTTGTGCTGGGTTAAATGGAAGATGGCAGGTCTTTTGCCACCCCCTCCCCGCCCACCTTGACCCACTGCCAGATTTCTCAGCTGCCCTCTAGCCTGGACCAATAGGATGAGCAAGAATGCCTGCTGTTGATAGTTGAAGGGCCAAGATTTAGGCAGACTGAAAAATGTCAGAGGAAACCTTTGGGAAGAGCGTTTTAGAAGCCAAACAGTGTGGCAGGTAAGCTTTCCATTTTTGTAACAATGGGCCCCTGGAGAGAAGTGCTCTCCATTACTGTTCTTATTGGCATGCATCTTGCATTTCAGTGTCTTAATTTCTCTGCTGCGTGCAAGGCAGTGGAAATGGCCTCTGATTGCAGAGCACTTTTCAAAAAATAGATTTAAAAATATGAGACAGAGCCTATCTTGGAGATTACAGGGCACTTTTCTTGAGTATGGCAAATTGCCCTGAATTAGAACATGAGGTGCAAACTCACAGAACGAAGTTTGCTTCCCTTCCCAGTTCCCCATTCGCCTACCAGCTCCTCTTCCTGGAGAGAAGGAAGCCATTTAGAAAGTCAGGCTACCCAGACTGTTGCTGTTCTCCCTGGTTTTTGTCTCTTAATTGTCAGGCTAGCCAGGGCTTTTAGGAGGAGAATATAAATAATTGCTATTTAGAAAGAATGTGAAGAATTCAACAGGCTACATCATGAAACCTGGAGGGTATCTACTTATCCTAAGAGCATCCTCTTTCCCACTCTGTTTGCTGCTGAATTGCATGCATATTTTGAGGGAAAGGGAGATGTGGAATCTGCATGATAAAGTTTTGAGCAGAGAGCAGAAAGCTGTGAAAATATTAACCTGCAAAAAAAGAAGGGAGAAGCAACCCCCCATGAGATCAGCGTCAGTTTAGCTCTTTTATCTCACTTTTGTGAAGCAGTATTTTTAAAAACCTATTTGCTCATGGAATCCTTCTCATGCCAATGTCACTTGCAAGGGACTAGCTGAATATCTGAGGTTGGAACCAAGGTATTGCAGAAAAAATTGACAGCTTCCAAGGGCTTGGTTGGTGTAGGGCTGAGCTAGGCAGTGGGCAGTTCTCTGGCACTCAAGTTCTCTGCTTCACTTGAGTAATTTTTCTCTTAGCCCAACATTCCTCACAGTCCACCTAAAATTGGAGGAGGGAGTTTTAAATATGCTGCCTTGAGCTGCTGTGGGAAAGGCAGGATCTTAACAATAATTAATAATAATGTACTTAAATCCCATCACCACTCATTTGCTAAAAGGCAAGCTTTCCTTTTATTGAAACGTTTTTTAATAGATGTGTTCTAATGGTCTTGCCTCCTTCCCTGTGTTGTCTTTGCCTTGGTCAAAATAGCTGACTTATAAGAGATTGTTGCTTCTTTAGTTCTTTGTGCCTGAAGACTGGCCATCCAGCATCTTTTTTCCCTCTCTCTCTTTCTCCCACTCACAGATTTTATGCCCGAGATTCTGGTCTGCTGAAGTTTGAAATCCAAGCAGGACTTCTGGGTCGACCCATCAATCACACTGTCCGGCGCCTAGTGGCATTTACTTTCCACCCTTTTGAACCCTTTGCTATCTCTGTGCAGCGGACTAACGCTGAATATGTTGTGAACTTCCACATGAGGCATAGCTGCACGTAGTTTTGCTCTGCTGTAGGCACTGAATAGAGACATTTTGTCATGGATACCCCAAAGCCAAAGTCAGGCTGAAAGAAACCAAAACACTAAGCCTCTTTGGAGTGATGCTAATTTAGTCCTGTGATGTTTGACTCTCACAGGAATGCTGGTGCTGATGAATCCATAACTGTCAGATGTCTCTTAATTTCTTTTTCTCAGGTGTCAACCATTCTGTCATTCAGCACAAACCAAACAGATTATTTTCTAAAGTTCTCTGCTCTGATACTTAACTTATTACTACATCTTCTTCTACTACTACTACTACTGCTATTTAGCAGGGTGGATGGGAGGGTGGGGGGCTTCAGCTGAATAAGCCATGGGAAATCCATTTGTAGCAAGGCAGTTATTATTTTTCTCTATCTTTTAATAGATGGATAAAAGTTCTTCGGTCACTATTTCAAGGAGGTTGGTTGGTTCCTTAGTTGGAGATAGGGATATCAGTGTCTGCTTTTTCTATAGGCAGGGGAGATAATTGGACAAAATACTCTTATCTAGACACTTTGAAGCACCCTTAGTCTTTAATCCCCTCATATTTCTCTTTAGAGGGGGAGAGAGAACCCGTGAAAGGGTTTGTGCTGCCCAGCTTCTGTTCTGTGAAAACCATACTGCATACTTAATCTGCCCATCTTCCAAGGGGGCCTATGTGGAGCGGTAGGGTTTTGTTTTGCTAATAAGTGATCATTCCAATAAGTGTCCTGCAATATGGTGCAGTTGCATTATGTGCCTGCTTGACTCCTACAGGTTTTAAATGAGGAAATTGTCAACTTGTGTTGGCCATGGGAGACTACAGCACAGATGTAGGCTAGCCGTCTTGGAAATCCTTGGTTACAACAGCCCTCTTCCCTGCCTTCCATCAACTTACAACCAGGTTGAAGGATGGGCATGTTTTAGATACTCATCTAACGTTAATCTTTCCTTACATTTGGTGCCAGTCCTACTCTCTTGGCACCAATTCTCAGCAGGAAGCAAGATTTTCAAAAATGACATCTGTGAGGCCATTTTCATATGCTCCAAATTATAGGCCTTTGTATATGACCCAGAAGTTCAGGGAAATAAAAGTAACAAGAAGGTAGAGTGTTGTTTACTCTTTTGGTGCCCTTCTTTCTCTTGCTGTGTTTGAATGCCAAACACAGGGGGAGGATTTCAGGGAGGGGAGGGAGGACTTCAGTAGCTTTTGGCTCTTAGAAGGGAGGACTTCAGGGGAGAACTTCAGTAGCTTTTGGCTCTTATGAGGACTAGAAGAGTTCCCATGAGATCATCTGTAGAGCATCCACCCCAACATTTGTTTACAAATGTTAAGCTCCTAGTTTTGAAATTGCCCTGTGAGCTGAGTCACTTGGTAAGGCAAGTCAAAACAGATGTTTGGTTGGATATATTTGGACATACTTGCTAAGCTTATCCATAGATTGCTGTAAAGAAAAAGATTCCTTTGACTTCAGCTTGACTCGTAGGGACTACATGAATATGCTTACGTTACTTTCTTAGCAACAATACCAAAGTAGTTTGCTATTAACTTCTTTCAGGATTTTTTTTTTTTTCAATTCCAAGTTCAGGCAACAGCCCTGGAATTTCCTGGTAATCTCCAAGTCCTGATCTTGATTGGCTTTTTCCAAATCAGTCATGGCTGGTGAGATGTCAGTTCCCTGAGGTTCATGTTTTGTTAAATAAGGCATAATTGCCTTTATTTAATTCAACACAAAAGGCAGCAGTAAAAAAAAAGTGCTAAAAGGGAATCAATATAAATACATTGGGTTTACAAATTGAACTAGACTATAGTTTGCTGAATAGTGGTCAAATCCCAGTCAGCTATATACCAACACATAGATCATAGTTTTGCAAAAGATAATGACTGAGTTCATGTAAGATGTAAACCCAAAATCTAATAAGACAAATGATAGCTTAGATCAATGTGTTTATCCTTGATTGGTTGACTTGGTGTTATTTATTTATTTTTCTTTACTGTTGGTCTGAGCTGAAAAGACATAAAAGCAGTTAGAAGGAATGGGATGATTCCAAGAAGTTGGATGAAGAGCTGCCCAGAGTCACCCTCTGGGGGAGATGGGCAGCATATAAATTAATTAATTAATTAAATAAATAAGTTGGCCTCTAGAAGAGCCTTCTTGTATGAGTTTGAAAATTTATCTTGCTTGGCATTTTGTTCCCACAGCAGTCAACCGAATGCTTTTGGGAAGTTCACCAGCAGGATAGAAAGGCAACATAGCTTGTGTCCCCCCAGCAACTGATATCTGGGGCATACTTTCTGGGATGCTGGGGATACTACAGGGACAGCATGACTAGTAGTTAATTATACACTTATTCTCCATAAACATAATTCCTTTTTGAAGCTGTCTAGTCAGATGATCATCACCATGAATTATGGCTGTGAATGTCTCAGTTTTGCTTTTCTCTCTGCCTTCAGCACTGCTGGATTTGAGGTTGCTGAATAGATACGCAAGTTAATTTCAGACATTCTGAATCAACATGAAGGTAGGAAGCCTGAATGCAGGCAATGCTTTCAGAGCCATCCATTCCCCATGACAGAGACCTGAGAATGTTGGCAATAGTGACCAGCGACCAGTGATTGGAGTTGCAGTAGGCAGGCAATAGCACTTGTTTCCTGATTTGAATACTTTTCCTTCTACATACGTACCCAAATGTATTATCAGTTCCAAGCTAAGTTTATATATATGTTTATGTATGTATGTGTATTTCAAGATAAAGCTCTGCAACCCCCTAAATTTAATAGATAAAATACTGATCCCTGAAATCAAGACTTCCCCTTCCCGAGTTGCATTAAGGTTCTACCATAAATGTTCTAAATCAGGATGTGGACTCTCTGGTCCATGGGCCAATTCTGGTTTTCTAGGTTGCATCATCTGGTTGGGGAGTCTCAATGGATGCCCCATCCTTTTCCCTAAAGCCTCATCCCCTTCTCACCGGAAAGCACAAAGGAGGATTTTTCCTGACCACGCACATTCTCTTAGAGAAGATGCAGGGTAAGCAGAGATGGTCCCTTAGGAACCAGTACATTAAGGTACCTCTACTGGGAACATCTTTGGCATCCTGCTTTTCAGTGCTTCACCTGACTTCCTTTTGAAAATGTTCTGGGTGAGCAAAATCAGCTTATGGTCCCCTGAATAGATCGATTTTCTGGGAGATTTTAAATCATCCTTGAATTGGCTTCGATTTTAGAGTGGTATGGCTAGGAAGGAGTTGTTTCTGTCTTCCTTCCATGTGCTGGTTTCCTGATCAAAACTGCCCCCAAATATTTGCTCAGACCTTCCAGCATAACATGTTTGTCACAAAAAAATCAGGGGAGGCTGTCCCTTGAGGTCTCTTGGTTTTTTTTTTTTTTTAGAGAGGGCTTTGTTTGTTTTGTAGGCAACAGTGTGAAGTTTTGGATTTGTTCTACTGCTGTCCTACTAGAATCAAAAGAGGGAGACATGGATGAAGAGTTCTGAAGTTGGCAGTTCACAGCGCATGCTGACCTTGTGATTTAAACAGCGATGTAAATGCAAAGTATTAAATGCGTTGGGGGATTATCGATAAAGGGTTGCATAATAGAACCTCCAAGCGGTATTCTTTGCAGCAGTTCCTTTCTTTATTTTCTCATCTCCCCTCATCTTAATATCCTCTTTGTTTTTAGAAAAATGAAAAGAGGACCTGGCAGTAAGGCAAATATTTACACTTCATCTTTTCCTCCCTCCAGACTACAGTATAAATGTGATATCCAATTGTGATAAGAAAAATAAATCTTAATTCTATTTTTTTAATCACTTTATCTGTCTCCTCTTCACTTTCACCTTTGTGACAAGCAGCGTATTAGTGGCTGGCTGAACCAAAATGGGGACAGCCAAGTTTCCTTACTCCTGCAGCTGATCTTTTTGCATACAAAAAGAATATGGGATGAAGGAAACAGGATTCTCCTTCAACAAATAAAGTACTTCAAATTTAACTCTTCATTACTAGTTTCATAATAGCCTTTTGTAATACTTTTAAGGATTCTGAGTCCTTCCTATTTGTTACCATTTCCTCTAATCACCTCCGTGTAAAGCATTATCTATTTGAAGAATTTTGCCTTTCTGTTCAGTGAAACAATGGCTTTCAGAGTTGAATAAAGAGTGGTAATTAAACAAGAAGAATCTGGCTGGATGACTCCAAGGGTTCATCTAGGCTGACATATTTTAACACACTGGCTGTGTTTGCACAACACAACAATCATCCTTGGTTAACAAAATACATTTGTTGTATTCCCATAACATGATGAACAAACAAACATATTGTAGCTTAACATGATGGCCTGATTCACACAACATAAAAGATAATGTCTGGTTCCTACAATGTACTGGACCACAAACTACCCAAATCCATTTTAGCCTAGTCTAACAAATTGTTCACTATGGTCACCTGAGTGCATTCAGAAGGCTTACAACCTTGTAGAAGAATGAACAACCCTTTTCCACTCTTGTTCCACTGTCATCCTGTGATTAAGGATACAGCATATAGCCTTCAGTCTGGTAGCCACTGATAGCCCTCTCCTCCATAAGCTTGTCAAATCCTCATTGAAACTTGGCCATAATCACATTTGTTGACAGCGACTCCTGTGGCTTAACTGTTGTGTCTATTGATCTTGAATTTGCAAGGGGCAGTGATGTGGAGGAGGAATACCAACTTTGGAACATGCCAAAGTTTACTACATACTATTCTAGATGGAATGATCCCATTGAGAAGAAACACAACGGGTAATGTAAATAGGTTCTGAAACTTGGTGCTGATAGCTAATTCAGATATGCAATTTACCTCTTGAGTCTGCAGTCACCAAGCAACGGACCTACTTACATGAAGGACTTTTTTTTAGGTGGAAGGGCTGAAACTTGGGAATCTGGAACCAGCAATTTCTAGGATAGAGAGACCCTTTATGAACGCATATTCCAGCTGCATTCCAGAGCCATCAAGACTAAGTGTCTGTTAGTTTGGAAAGGCAGAAAGACAAAGCCAAAAGGAGCATAATTATATAAGCTCAGAATTCCTTCTTCTGCTATGGGTAATTAACTGTTGTGCTGGAGGTTTTATTCTTGCCCGCAATAAACTTTATAATCTAACCAAGTCATGTCTGAGAGTCTTCTGCCAAGACTAGTCAAGTCTTGTCTAGAGAGCTATGACATTTTCCTCACCCCTGGAGAGAAGTCTGAGACCAGGTCTCCCAGGTGGTAAGCAAGGAACGTTTAGACACGAACTCACTGGCCATACTAGCGATCATCCAATTAAATCTCCAGTTTATTTTTCAAACCCCAGCCGCAGAAGTAAATTAAGCTGGCACAAGATGAAGAATGGCCCCTGCCTGGAAATGAGTCAAGATGGCTTGGGCACCTGCAGAAACTCCCATCCTCAGATTGACTCAGAACATCAATTAAGAAGAAGCAAACCTGGCAGGGGCCTGTCTGGACTCCACATGTGCTGTCCATTTAGTGGCTCCTAGATGCTCACTGAACACTTTAAAGATGGCAACTCAGAGTTTAACATCCATGTTGCTCGTAGAAAGTCCTCTGGGAGAGGATCAAGGAAGGCTGTGGTTTCTTTGCTCATGCCTATGCTGGCATGGAGCTCTTGACAACTGCAGTATCCATGGCAACTGGAAGAGAAAGCCCTGCCAGATCCACTGTCCAGACAGCAGAAGCGAGGTGCTGGTGATGCTGGTAACTGTGAAGAAAAAAACAAAAAACAGCAACAACAACAACAACAACAACAACAACAACAACAAAAATGAGGTTACTTGTCTACTTTCTGTTTGCGAAAAGGCAAGTTTCTTGTACATATCAACACAGTGTTCACAGAACATACTTAAGCTAATTGTTGATCTAATCCATTTCTTGGGTTTGCCCATTATATTCAATTATGAACTAACCAGGCATACTGATACACACATACACAAACCGAATGAAGATTAATCAAACTTAGCATGTGTGAATACAGCTGCCAGGTACCTCTACCTAACCTGGTTAAGCAAAGTGTGGGAACATGGCCATAGTGAAGCTTAGAACTGCATACACTACACTCTGGCCTTTCTTTCAATCCTCTTACAGAAGGACTATGGCCATATTATCTAACAGCCAACCTTTCAAATACAGGTCTGACTATATGTAATTATATTATTTGTTACAGTTAATGAAAAGTGGTTTATCAGAGGAGTATAGGTTTCATTTGAACAAGGCTATTTTCTAGTCCCATACCGTGCCTGAACAGTGCAGCAAGAGCTCTTACTGAAAGGCAAATTTCTGTTTCACACGGGCTTGTGACAAAGCACGGTGATCTACTCCAAGTAAAAGTCAGAAATTGCACTGTTCCTTTACTTAATCCAAAGGTTTTGAAGCTAAGGGCCACATTCAGCTCTTGAATGATAAGCAAGAGTTGCTCTCCAAACTCTAGGTGAGGCCAGAGCAAATTGATTTATATTTAAACTAAACTAAATGCAGCTAATATGTTTACTTCCCACATATCCAATAGTTTTCCTGTTTTATCACCTAAAAAATACAACCTTGTGGCAACTTTTGAAGTGGTTCCGACAGCCGGAGCCATACATTATTTTGAATGGAGAACATCCAGCCTCAGCATTTCAGATTGTGCACCACTGAATTAACTAACCCACAAGATCTCCAGGCGAGATCAATTAGATTACCAAATAATTGATTTCTTCATCCTGATGTGTTACTTAATGAGCACCCCACCCCACCTCACCTCACCTCTCTGCAAGTTTAAGAGACAGATTTTGCTTCCAATGATGCTTGGCAAATAGGAAGTTAATCAAGGATGTGGTAGATGGCAAAATTTATGAATTTCCAAGTGCACTGCAATCCAAGTTAATTGGAAAACATTTCAATGAGGAAAATCTGCAGAACAACTTGGGAGGTCAATGAGATCAGGTGCTTCAATGAAAAACATGGAAGAGGGGCTTATCTGTACCTTGGCCACCATGATTTCTACTCCAGAGAGAAATGGCAAACATCTGCCCGCCTCTCGTCCCTGTTCCAAATTGGGTCTCTCCAAATTACCCAAAGTGGTGATCTGTTTTGCGATACATGTCCTAGAGATGAGGCAGAGGCTTCATTTCTTTAATGGTGAAAAATAACACAGCTTGGCTCAGAAGTTCATCTTACAAGTTGATTTTAGTTTCTGTTGATCCCCACCAACTGCTCCTTTGCATCCGAGAGTTGACAAGCCTGTAAATTGATGGACATCTGTTCAAAAGCACAGTGGAGCAAATGGAAGTCCCAGTTCTATGAAGAGTGGCAAAAGAGCCATTTCGGACAATTGCTCAGGCAAGTTGGTTGCTTTTGGGCAGTGGGAAGGAAAAACTGCAGTCATCTGTCTTGTCTTTAGTCAGAGACCTGCCACTATAGGGGCCTGCAATGAACTTAGAACCAAGCCATGAACATTTGAGCAAGCAAAACACTGGTGTTCTCCAGTTTGTACTTCACAAGTAAAGTTGATTCCTTTAAGCTGCAAGGTCTCAGATGTTAAGCCAAGGTCTGCAGCAAGGAACAGGCTCCCTTGCCTAATTTTATTGTATTTTTCCACTCTCCTGTTTTTCAACCACGGTTTGATCAGCAAACGCTAGCAGGTGGCAATATGTTTAATCCTTTGTGCAATGCTTGACTGATTATGTTTGCAGGACATGGTAACTACGGTTTACTGAACTAATTCAATTGCTCAGGTCTGTAGAACACCGTCACAAACTAGCTGATCCCATTTTAGACTTACACATTGTGAGAATATGGCTACGAGGCTAGTTAGTTCAGGGAAATGACACTGCTGTTAAATATGCTGGAAGAAAGAATCAACAGCCCTGAGACTGAAGGAACAGAATCTAGAAGTTACATTTGCAAGCTGGTGACAAAGAGCACCTTGTGCATCTTTAAGACTTTAGTCCCAAATTCTGTTTTTTGTTTTCATTCTTGGGGTGGGTACAGAGACACTGTTGTGCTGATTATCAGTTGCTTGGGCGGGGAAAAGAAAGTGGGAGGAATAATGCCTTCAAGTTCCATTTATAGAATTCTTGGAGGCATCTACACTGGACGGAGTGGGAAAAAGGATGCAACCTTTGATCTTGACCTAGTGGGTGAGCTAACCAGAACTTAACCCATAGATTTACTCTTTCTCCCTTCCCCTAATTCAATACTATTCAGTTCTTAAAACTACCAGATACATTTAACCATACTGGGGGGTGCTTCCCCCGCACCCCAAATGTTTTAGCTAACCACAAGTTCTTTTTATCTTCTTATTTTCAGGGTGGGGAGCAGATAACTTATTTGGCGGATAGGGGAAACTCTAAGCTCCAATATATGTCAGATAGATTACTGTCAGCCTTGCGAAGCACACAAGAAGCATGCCCAGAAGTACTAGTGGTAACTTTATTGTAAGATTACATTAATAGAATCCTGCAAATCTGAAAATACATCTCTTCCTCCTTGCCTTTACAGCCCAAGAAACTAGGGAGGGTCCCTTCTGAGACATATGCCACACCCCCATTCCTTCTGAGGACTCAGCTGCTGCTTGTCTGACTGTGGTCTAGCCTGTGGCTCTTCCTTCTGTTTCCCAAGATCATTCCCAGGTACCATTACATTTACTAACTTGGGGCAGCAGGGGATAAGTTGTTGCCCTTCACAGGGCCAGGTTTTGGCCAGAGGCCAACAGTTGCTGACCTCCTCTGCTAGAGCTTTTCGCCAGTGTACAGATTTAGGCATTCAGCAAGTCCGGGGCAAAGGCAAGGAAAGATTAAGGCAGAGCTGCATCAATCAGTGCATTATAGACCCTATGAATGCACAATGCCCACTAGCAAAATCTGTCCTGTGGGAGGGGGTTGTTCTCCCCTTCAAGGTTTATGAGAAGTAAAGAAGTGCTGTAGTCCATTACTGAACGCTTCCATCATAGGCCTCTTGGATGCTTTTAGGCAGTTCAATAACAAAAGCCCCCAGCAGCTCCCAAGAGTGCCAATTAAAGCTAGGGTGTCTTTCAAGGAGTGGAAAAGGACAGAAAACTACAAAAACAACAACTGGTGGGCCCTTGACTTCCTTTGCCCTGCCAAATTGCATTTGAGGAACATGGAGAAGCTAAGGGTTACAGCTCAACCAGCTTTGGGGAAATGGTTGGAGGGGATTAAGAAAGCAATTGAAGGGGCTCCAAGAGGCTGAATGGTATTACTAATATTATCATACATTTTGTGCTGTCAGTGCTGCAGAGAGCTTGGTAGAGCAAC